AGCAAAAAATTAAAATTTAGCAATGAATTCATTATATATGTGGCAAATGATATTTTTATTTAGTTACGATTTTAGCTGTCACGTAGCCAAAAGGTTAATATATTTGCTATGGATATTATTTTTGTAGCAGAAATTTTCAAGATTTAGTTATAAATTTATGTTTTTGTTGCTAAAATGCAAACATAGCTACACAGACTATTCTCTGTGGCTATAAAGGTAAAGTTTTTGCTACAAGCTTATTATTGTTATGGCAAAAACATTTAAGTTTTTAGTTACATATTAATCTCATTTATAGCAAAAAATATAAATTATTAGCTACGTAAGCAAAAAGTTACATGGCTAAATCTTAGCTACGCCACTTCTAGCTATGATAAGCTACAAAACATTGCATTTGTAGCTAAACCATTTAACAACGTAAATTCATACTTTTAGCTACAATGAACGCCATGGCTAGACATACATAATATTGTAGTGAATCATACACATGTTAACAAAAATTTGCTTTGGCATCAAAGGTTAGGTCATCCAAACTTTGCAGTATTTACTAAAATCATCACTAACCTTAACAATGATCATTCAACAAAGGTAAAAATTCCATCCTCTTTTTCTTTTTGTGATGCATGTCAGTTAGGAAAATTACACAAAAATAGTTTCCCTTCTTCTTCTTCTTCTAGAGCCATTGAACCTTTAGCTCTAATCCATACTGATCTTTGGGGACCTTCTCCAATGCTTTCTATTGAAGGATATACATATTACATTCAGTTTGTTGATGATTTTAGTAGATTTACATGGCTTTTTCCCTTAGGAACAAAGGCTGAAACTCAGTCTACTTTCATCAAATTTCATCATTTATTTGAAAGGTAGTTCAGTTACAAGCTTAAATGCTTGCAATCCTATCAAGGTGGTGAGTATAAGAGTCTTATTCCATATCTTGAACAAAATGCCATCATGTTTAGACATTTATGTGCACATGTGCATCAACAAAATGGGAGAAGTGAACGTAAACATAGACATGTTGTTGAGATAGGTTTGACACTCCTTGCTCATGCATCTATGCCATTGCAATTTTGGTGGTGTGCTTTTGAGACTACAACTTTCTAAATTAATAGAATGTCGTCCTCAGTTTTGAATTTCATATCTCCTTATCAAACTTTGTTTCATCAGTTACCTTTGTACTCCTCTCTAAAGGTTTTTGGCTATGCTTGTTTCCCTCACATTAGAGATTTTAATCAACACAAGTTTAGTTTTCATACATCCAAATGTGTCTTCCTTAGTTACAACCTTGTGCATAAAGGTTTCAAGTGTCTAAGCTCCACTAGAAAGCTATACATTACTCCCCATGCTAAATTTCATGAAGAAGAATTTCCCTTTGCTAAAAATAATACCTTTGTTAGCCAAACAATGTAGTCTCCTTTATCTACTCAGTTCACATCTCAGTCCACTTGTTCAACAAATCAGTTTCCTTTTGTTCACATCATTCATACTCAATTAGTCAATGATATAGTTCCTGCAAGAGTTGCCCCTTAAGAGCACTATTCTCCACCAGTCATTAAGGTAACTCAACCTCCTCTTTCTCCTAAACCTTTTTCTGCTCCTGGTACTAATGTTGTTGTTTCAGGTTCTTCCACTTCACCTATAGTCTCATCTTTACTGCCCTCTGATCCTTCACACAGTTTTTCTACTCCATCAACTTGTCCATTTGTAGTTGACCTTACTTCTTCACAAGTATTACCATCATCACGTCCCAATCATAGTTCAAAACTCCCCACTTGTTCTCTTGTTGTTGACTTAGATCCCTCAAAGTTCTCTGTTGTGCCTACTGATTTACCATTTGTTACAAACCAGCATCCAATGATCACTCAAGCTAAGGCAGCAAGTCAATTAAAAACTGCTCTAATCACTTCTGGTTCTACAGAGGTTCATCCTGAACCTTCGACTATAAAAGAGGCTTTGGCTACTCCAGCTTGGCATGATGCAATGAAAAGTGAATATGATGCATTGGTCAACAATCATACTTGGACATTAGTACCAAAAAGTTCATATATGAATGTTGTAGGCAATAAATGGGTGTTTAGAGTTAAGTATAATGCTGATGGATCCTTGCAAAAATATAAGGCTAGGTTGGTTGCCAAAGGGTTTCAACAAACTCTTGGTTTGGACTTCTTTGAGACCTTTATTCCTACAATTAAACCCTCCACCATTAGAATTGTTCTCACTTTAGCAATCGAACATCCAACAAGTGGATGTCAATAATGCTTTTCTTAATGGGACTTTGAATGAAAAAGTCTTCATGAAGCAACCTGAGGGATTTTAATGTTCACAATTTCCATCTCATGTATGCAAAATAAACAAGGCTCTTTATGGCCTCAAACAAGCCCCCCGGGCATGGTTCGATAAGCTCAAACAGGCACTTCTCACCAAAAGGTTTCATAACTCAATTTCAGACTCTAGTCCCTTCATTTTGAAAGAACCTACTCAAGTTACTTATGTACTCATTTATGTGGACAACATACTCATTACTGGCTCAAGTCAATCTTTTATTCTTCAGCTGGTTCAGGACTTGAATGATCATTTTTCTCTTAAAGCTCTTGGGTCCGTCAAGTATTTTCTCGGTTTAGAAGCTACTAGTGGCATACAAGGCATACATCTTCGCCAAACTAAATATGTGGTTGATTTACTCTCCAAAACCAAGATGCTTATGGCGCATGCTTGTCCCACTCCTATGGTGGTGGGCACAAAACTCTTTACTAGTGATAGCCCTTTATTTGTAGATCATACTCTTTATATGAGTACCATGGGGGCCTTGCAATTCCTTACGTTAACTGACCCGACGTCAGCTTTTGTGTAAATAAGCTTAGCCAATTTCTTCAAGTACCTACGGAACTTCAATGGCAAGCTTATAAGTGGGTTCTTTGATTCATTAAAGGAACTCAGTATTATGGTTTACAATTAAAACCAATAGCCTCACTTAGCATAGAAGGCTATGCTGATACTGACTGGGGTAGCAGCTTGGATGATCATAGGTCCACAAGTGGCTGCTGCATCTATCTTGGTCCCAATCTCATCCAATGGAGTTCATGCAAATAGAAAGTTGTTGCACTTAGCTCTACTGAAGTTGAATATCACGCTTTAGCACTGATAGCTACTGAAGTGGCATGGCTTCAAAGTGTCTTTTCTGAGTTGGGTTGAGCATGGCAAATGTTCTAGTCATATGGTGTGATAATCTCAGTGCAGGAGCCTTGGCAGGCCAATCTTGTTTTTCACTCAAGAACTAAACATATTGAAATAAACGCACACTACACCAGGGATCAGGTTTTGACAAAGAAAGTTGTTGTGCAATATGTTCCTTCAAAACTGCAAATAGCAGATAGTTTAACTAAGCCTTTGCCTGTTGCTTAGTTTCATGAACTGAGAAATAAACTCACTGTAATACGAGTTTATGCACACAAAAGAAACTTCCTGTCTTGCTCAACATACTTCATCTAGTGTCAATGATAATGTTCGTTTCAGTATTGACAAAGTCACATTCTCTGATGAAGAAATAGAGTAATGTCAATTGCTGCTACTCCGTTTTTCACTTCTTGGTTCATTACATACTGGATAAATTGCATGCATACTGCAGCACATGATTCTGAAAGCTGATGTATCTCACAAGAAGGAAAGTATTTGAAGGAACACATTGAGATGTGTCTTTAGCAGAAGTGGTCCAGCTCAAGGGGAAATGTTGAAGTAAAGTGTTAAGGTGTCTTCAGTAAAGGTGGTCTAGCTCGAGGGGAAGTATTGAAGTAAAGTCTTGAGGTGTCTTCAGCAGAGGTGGTCCAGCTCAAGAGGAAGTATTGACAGTACTGACAAGAAGCAAAAGTGGTGTCGTTCTTACTCTATTTCTGTCACCGTTGTTAGCTCACCAAAGGCACCAAAGAACTACTATCTCTTCATGGCATTCAGCATCAAAGTGTTGTCACCTTTACATTAGTGTTCTTGCTTCTTCTCAAATGTATAAAACGTGTGACTCTCTATTAGTTAGTTAGTTAGTTAATGAAAGAAAGAAGAAAAGTTGTATTTGTCTTTCTCAATTCTCTCTAAAATTCTTGACTTCTCCTCCAAAGTCTTTCACTTTTTACACAAATTGTCTGATACAAATTGTTGTATTTTAAGATGATTGGATAATTTTTAAATTAAAGAATAAATTAAATGAATTAAAGAGGACTACATGTCAAATATGCAAGGCCATCAAATCAATTTGTAAGGAATAGTTTGCAGGGGTTGACTAGGAATTAATGTTAGAGAGGCAAGTAAAGTAATTTAATATTAATTCTAGGAAAACTAATTCAAGGGATTGTAAATAATTTAATATACATATGAAAAAAGTATGGGAGTGGGGTCAAATGTGGAAATATAACCACAAATACAGTTTAGTCAAAACATAAAAGTATGCATAATTAATGAATGTTTTTTGTTTACTAGGTCTGCCCATGTTAGTTGTTGCTCTTACCAGTTATATATGTACGCTCCAGTTTCCTAATTCTATTTTGAAACCAGATACAATTTGATTGTAATGAACTTACTATTATTTCTTTAACAAAAAAATAAAAATTTTAAGAATTTATATAATATTTTTAGTTTATTAATATCTATGCGAATTTGGTGAAGTTTTGATCGTCGAAAAAAAGTATGGAAAGAACCAATTTTTTTTTTAATGTAGCAGGTTACCCTTGAAATATTGGACAATTCAGGTAATACCATGTAAATGTGGTGGGCATGGAATCTTATTTGTTTGTTTGAATAACATGATTCAATACGTACTGTCATGATCATGTTGTTGTTTTTAAGAAGGAATAATCCAGCTATGCCTTATCAAGGAATAAATATTTTTCATATAATGACGTAGAAATCTATTAGTAATTTATTCGACCATCTCAACCTATAAATTCAAGGTCTGCATGTAACGAAGATCATCAGTAAGATATATTTGAATTAAAGAGAAGAGTGATCATCACGAGATGGCTTCAGCGCAAGTTCAGCGCCCACACAACCTCGATGCCATTCTTCAAGAGGCAGACTCACAGATTAACAAGTCCTCCGACAATCTGATTGAGCAGCTCCACGGTGGAATCTTCTTGAACCAAAACAAACTGGCAAGTCCCATTTATCTTATAGATTGTTTTTTGTATCATCTTCAATTTTACTGTTTTTATTATAGATTTATGCAAGGGGTCTCGCAATTGCTTGGGGGAAACGATGAACGTTATTGGAAATGGACTTCATGCAAGACACAAAAGAGTATATAATTCTACTTAACTTTTTATGGTAATGAAGATTTCAAGCGTGTTCAGTTGGACTTATCTATAGTTAAAAGAGTTTATTTAAAGTCATAAGCAGTTTTATTTTTAGGTTGTTTGATTGTATTTCAAAAGTGTTTATTGAATTTTAAATCAACTATTTTACCCACTTATGAGAATAATTCAAATGTGAACTTCTCTCATAAGCTTCTTTTGAGCTTATTCAAAGTTTTAAAATTTTAAAAATATACTTATCTTATTTCATAAATTTGACTTGCTTATGAAACCCATTTTTATAAACTCTATTCAAATAAGGCGTACCAAACGAACCCTTCTTCTAATGTAACTAATTTTGTTTTTGCAGTCATCCTGTTGAAGTGGAGGTGGCTGAACTAGCAAAAGTCTGCTGGCTTGATGTGACCAAGAAATTCCCTAGACAAAATCTCACTCCAAGGCATACTTATGAAGTTTCGTTTGTCTTAAAGAAGTTGAAAGGATGTGAAGGATTTCAAAACCATCCAATGAACTTGAAACTCACCCTCCCCAATCAATCTCCGATGGAACACAAACAAGATTTGAGTATATTGCCAGAAAACAAATGGTCAGACATTCCCCGTTGGCGTGTTTTCGACTAATTGCGGTATGACTGGGGACATGGAAATCTCTATGTATGAGCACGGTTCGCAGTGGAAGAAAGGGATTGTTGTTGACAAAATCATCATTCGCCCCCTGGTGCAGCCACAGAACTGAACGTGAGAATAATCAACAATGGGACGTTCATGATAAATAATTTAGTTGGCATGCGTCTCATGTTGTACTAGTAGCTCTCACTATGACTTTGTAATAAATAAAAACGTGGGAGTTATATATATGATAATAAACGGCAACAATAATATGAGATTGCTTCATAAAAATTACCCTCACTCTAGTTTCTCCATTGATCTGCTTCAAAATCTAAGCTAGTTTTGACACATTTTATAACGTGAAATCGGCCTTCAATTAAGCATACGGTGAAATTATGTTCTTGTAATTAAACACTCATCTTTAGGATTTTCATTCTCCACCTCCTTGAGAAATGAGGCGACTTATATGGTCCCAACGTTTAAAACTTGCTGGCTGCTAAACAGAGTTACACAAGTCAACTAAAGTCAACATAAATAAGCGCTTTTAGGAGGGGGGGGGGGGGGGGGGTGGGGGGGTTGTGGGTGTCGTCGCGCGTGGGTTGGGTTGGTGGGGGTTCGGGGTCAGATGAAAACTCCTCGTCATCCTTATGTGTCCAAAAAATTTTAGCTAGGGATGTTGAAACCCGAAGGATGTACAGAGTTGGCACGGGCTCAATGTTGGCTCCATATGTTGTGTTAGTACGGCTCTATGCCTAGTCGTCGCAGGTAAGTGCCAATCCCATGACAATATATCGAGTTGGCAGGGACTTGATGTCTCAATGTTGGCTCCATATGTTGTGTTAGTACGGCTCTATGCCTAGTCGTCGCAGGTAAGTGCCAATCCCATGACAATATATCGAGTTGGCAGGGACTTGATGTCGACTCGATATATCAAGATGGTTGGGATTTATGGCTAGCTGCTATAGGTGGGTGTAATTACATGGATTTGCTCAAAGGATGGTCCTGCTTTGGTACCAATTTTAAGAACCACAAATGGGTAGAACTCACTTTAAAAACAGGTTTGTAAGGTGAGGCCACCCAAATTATTAACCAATATAGCAAGCTATTTCTTAGTGATGTAAGACTATTAAGATCGTTAGCATTAGTGAAGAGGATAAAAGAAAAAATAGCATTACACTTGCTCTTTTTGACATGCAGTGAACTAATACATCAAAATCAACAAATCATGGTGTTTTTTTTTTAATAAATTCCATAATAACAAGCTAATAGAATCAGATACTTAACCCATATATTGTTCAACCATTTAATTATCTTATACTATTATTTAGCTAAAAGCTAGAAGTATTTTTGTCAACTTATGAAGTTTGTGCGTGCACATTCAATTCTAATGTCTGCACATCCTTGTGTTTAAGTACAGTTGTATCTTCAGTTCACTATCATGACATTCAGAATTGATGTGTGCATTATCCCCTAGTCTGATTTTATAAACTTTCAATTTCTACTTTCTTTTTTCAAAAGTTACATAATCTAGATTGTTAAAGTACTAAAGATTTTGCACACCACCATTATTGCTAGAGACTTTGCTGGGCATTTATCACTTACAAAACCATGTTAAGATTACTGTTTTTGTCAAAAATAAATAAATAAATAAAAACTCATCCATGACAAGTAATTCTCCGAAGAATCTAAGTAAAGTTATGAAAGGATTGAAGAAGCAAATTCAAGAACGTAACTAAAACACAGAGAAAAAATATGGAGCAAAATTTAGTAGTAAAGAGAAAATGGAATCTACATTCTTGAAAATCAGTCACAGAAGGCAGGCAACATTTATAATGGTGGTTATACCAAAACACACCATATCACTAAAGTCCTATTTAGTTACAAAAACAACCCCATAGTAGTTGTAAACCTTACAAACACAACCCCAAAACATATCAATAAGGACTTCATACCTTTATACTTAATATCTTCCCTTAAACCAAAGTACTCAACAACTTCTAAGTTTTCAGACCTTTATACTTAATATCTTCCCTTAAACTAAAATACTCAATAGCTTATAGGAACTCTTCAAGTGTTGAATTTATAATACTCAATATCTTCCCGTAAACGAAACTCCCTTAACAGCTTCTTCCATCAGTTCTTTTAACTCTGTTCTGTGAATATTGATGCATGGACAGTTCACTATGTCAATGGTACTTTACCAGCACATGTCAGTACTTCAAAGTCAATACTTGGTTTCAAATATCATCAGCATATCATGCACTTCAAAGTAATCTGTACTCAGTACCCCTATACTACAAAATTACAAACTACTAGCAGCTCTGAGTAACTGAAATGCAGAACTGACCACCTTCATTATTTGGAAGAACAAAACTGACCCTTAATTTGTCTCGTAACATCGCAAATCTGGAGCTTGATAAGGCCTTTGTCAGGATATGCAACAACTTCCTAATGACCAATTCCCTAAACAAAATGCAAAAATAAATTTCGATGTGTTTTGTTTGGGCATGAAATATAGGGTTTGGTGATAGTGCCCCAACACTCATGTTGTCACACCACACGATTGGAGTATTGACTATAGACACACCAAGCTCTTTAAACAGATTTTGTACCAAACTATCTCAGTAGCAGCTTGACTGAGTGACCAGTACTCTGGTTCAGTTGATGAAAAAGAGACCACTTTCTGTTTTCTGGGTGACCACTAGATCAAATTGCCACCTAGAAATACACTATATCCACTAGTAGACTAACGATCAGTAACATCTCCAGCTCAGTCTGTATCTGCAAAAGCCTCTAAAGTAAAAGGTTTGTCTTTGGTAAACAATATGCCATGATCCAAAGTGCCTTTAACATACCGGAGAACTCTTTTACATGTTGTCCAATGAACTATTGTAGGATGCTGTAGAAACTGACTTAATTTATTAACTAAAAAAGCTAACTCAGGCTAAGACAAAGTTAAGTATTGTAACCCACCTATACTACTTTTGTAAAGTGTGTGGGTTGATCGAAGGCTTCTCCATCTTCTTTACCAGACTTCAATCTTGTAACCATAGGTGTTAGGCAAGGCTTAGAGTCTTGCATACTAGCTTTTAGAAGTAGGTCCTAGGCATATTTGGTTTGAGTCAACAACAAACCAGAAGAATTTCATTTCACCTCAAAACCAAGAAAATATTGAACCTCTCCAAGAGCTTTTAGAGCAAATGTAGCATTCAAATCAATCATTACTTGAGATATAAGCTGATTACCTATCACAAGTATGTTATCAACATACACTAAAAGATACAACACTTGTGACTCCTTTCAGTAAAAGAACAAACTGATATCTAAGGTGGAATTGACAAAGCCCTATGCAAGTGAAACATTTTTTAACTTGTCCGAGCAAGCTTTGGGAGCTTGTTTAAGACCATACAATGCTTTGTGCAGCATGCAAATATGTTTGACTTGCAAAGAATTAGACACAGAGAATCCTTCAGGAAGAGCCATAAAAACTTGCTCTGTGAGCTCACGATTTAAAAGCACATTATTGACATGAAGCTACTGTATGGACCAACTATGATGGATAGCTAATGACAACATGATCCTGATGGTAGTAGTTTTAACAACCGGGGAAAAAATGTCAAAATAGTCCAAGCCAGGAGTTTGTTGGAAGCCTTTAGCTACCAACAGGGCTTTGTACTTTTGAAGAGTACCGTATAACTTTAATTTGGTTTTGAAAACCCATTTACTACCAAGCACATTCATGCCTTCCTCACATGGAACCAGTTCCATGTTTTATTTCTCATCAAAGCCTAATATTCATGATCCATATGGCTTGCTGCCACTCAGATATTTGCAGAGCTTCAGTGACTAATTTTGGTTTAGGAAGAATAGTGGAAGTAGAGACCAGGACCTGATATCAAGAGACAATAGACTTACTCTTAGGCCTAGTGAACATGGAATGTGTATTAGGAGTTGTATTAGATGAAAGTGGAAGCACCACTTCCAGTTGAATTTTAGGAACATCTACGACTGGAAGAGAAACTTGTTATTAAGTAGGCAATAGACAAGAGGAATGAGGTACTGGAGAAGTATTCATACAACCAGAAGAGGAACTATTTAGAGAGGCTGAAGAAGACACTAACATAACAAGACCAGGAGCATCTGAATTAGATTTAGCAATGTTAGTGTCTAGAGAAGAGGTTTGAGGAAAATGTAGTAAAGTAGACTCATCTGAAGACACACATGATGGTAGGATCTAGGATTGAACAAAATTTTGTGCAAATAAATCAACTAGAGGTAGAGAACCATTAGCAAGAGAAGGTTGGAAACCTGATTTAAAAGGGAACTATGATTCATTGAATTTCACTTGCTTAACAACGTACACTTTACTAGTGGAGGAAAGACACAGTTAGCCTTTGTGAGACAAGCTATAGCCAAGAAAAACACACTTTTCAATGTGATAAGCCAACTTATGTTTATTATAGGGTCTAAGGTAAGGATAGTAGCTATAACCAAAGAATCTAAACTCATCATAAATACGTTCCTAATTAAACAAAACACAATATGGAGACACAAATTCAAGGGCCAAAGTAGGTAACTTGTTAAGCAGATAAGTAGCTGTACTTAAGGCTGATCACCAAAATTTTAAAGGCATTCCAGCATGTGCTAAGAGGGATTAACCATATTTTGTGATAGACTTATGTTTTTTCTCTACTCTCCCATTTTGCTGATAGAGATAGGGATAAGAGTGTCTAAACATAACACCTTACTGTTGTAAATAACTAGACAAGGACCTATACTTTCCTCCCTAATCAATTTGTAAACACTTCAATTTAGATTGTTTCTCCATAAAGCAATGAAATTAGAAAAACACAGCACAAGCTTCAGATTTAAGTTTTAAGGGATAAATCCAGGTAAACCTGTTGAAGTCATCAACAAAAATAATGTAGTATTTGTATCCTTCTTTAGATAGAACAGAGGCTGGACCCCATAGGTCAGAGTGTACTAGTTCTAAGGGAAACTTTGCTTTTGAG